GAAAACATACCGGGACGAGACCGCGCGGGTTGATGTCAAGGAGAGTCTTGGGTTTCTCATAGGGATTGACTTCGATGTATTGGTAATCGATCTCTTTTGCCTTTTCATTTTAATTGAAATCGTGTCAGGATCCTGCACCCGCAAAGCAATCGCAAATCTCAAAGAGAACTGTCTTCACACCTCCAAAGCAATCCAAGTCCTCTGAGCATAAGGGCAGAACCATCCGGAGAAGAATTGCAAGGCAGATGGTGCTGATCTCTTCTGGACGGTCTGTAGTGCGCGGCCGGTTGCTTCGCGTGGGATGCTTGTGTCTGGGGTGGACATTGTGGAACGGGAGCGGTTGTACGGTTTGAGACTGAAGTATAAGGTGCGAGGAAGTTGACGATGGAGGAAGGAAAGACGCGAGATCATCGCGGTGTGGGAAGGGGGGATTGGGTGCCTGGGTGCTATTTATGGCCCCTTCAACGATCACAAATCACAACGCGCGACTTGGCTGCGTCATGGCGTGTTGGGTTGGTCAATTCTGTTAGTAAGCAGAGTGGTTGCAGCCAGGCAGGCCTGGTGTTCACCACGAAAAGCCCTCTTCTTCTGTGTTTCATTCCTTTGCCTCGCATCTGCAACTTCATCCACGCTCTTATCCACACTCTCACCCACTCCGGATGCTAAAGTTCTACATCCCAATACGCGCACTAATCTACCATCGAGCAACGCAAATCGTACGGCTTCATCCACAGCTCCCTCCCCTTCTCCTCCCACACACTCGCCGCACCAGAACAATGTCCACCACAGATTACCCCTCCCCCGAACCCACAAGCTCCACCACCCCAACCCCACAACCAGAAAAAACCGAATACCCAACCATGTTCATAGTAATACGTAAAGACCTTGCTAAGGTGGCATCCCCCCACGTCTGCGAAACCACATATTAGTGTTACATATGACTAACACGCTCAAACAGTAGTCCCTCTCCTGGCCCACGGGAAGCATAATAACCCAAGCCTGCCACGCAACAGCCGCGGTCCTCCACCTAAACAAGGATCTTCCCTCCGTGCAAGAATATTTGGCAGACTGGAAGGGGATGCGCAAAGTTTCTTTCGAGGTATCATCATCCCTCACCCCACTTCCCTCCAATCCCCAAAGCTCACCACCCTCTCACAGGTAAAAAACCTCTCCCAACTAAAATCCGTATCCGAAATCCTAACATCCCACAACATACCCCACCACATGTGGGTGGAACAACCTGAAGATATTGAAACGTGTTTGGCGACGGTGCCGGTTTTGAGGTCTGAGTGTGGGGATGCGTTTCGGAAGTGTGCGTTATATAGATGATTGAAGGTGTGGAGTCATGGGGGGTACATTTGTGTAGATGAGGATAGTTTGGAGACCATATGTAGGTAGTCATAGGTCTTGCCAAAGTGCAGAGGCATCCAACGATATCCCGTTCGAACCAAGGACTTGAAGGCTCGATAAATTTCCACAAATGAGTCGATTGGTTTAGAACCAACTTGGGAACCGTCGCCTGAAGTCAGAATCCACAATTCTAATGCGTGTCCACCTAATGATCCATGTGCAACTCCAGCGTCCAGAATGGCACCTACTTGAATGGCCTCTCCCACCACCAACCGAGCCCATATGACAACCAACCCCACCAAACCCTCCTGTTCACCCCCGCCCCTCTCTCCAAATTGCCTTCACATCCAAAACCTGCCGCACGTCATCTTCCTTCAAACAAGTGAACCACAAGTCGGGAGACAAGGTATGATACTGTATATTATGCAGGAGAATAAACAAATGGATATGTTATGCTTGGTAAGTGGGGAAGCAGTCAGCGAAAGTTTTGCCGGCGTGCTATAAAGGGAGCAGCAAAAGATACAGTCAGGTTTTTGCCTCACAGTGAAGTGAGCGTTTCACAGCAAACTACGAAGACCAACCTTGCTATTAATATGATCCTGCAAAGCGGGCTGCCGCACAGTCTTCAAGAATGTTTGACGGCAAATCTTGCATTGTATGTCTTTGGCGGCTTCGTTCTGTTTTGCGGCAAAGCCAACGTTGAGTCAGTGTTTTGCGTTTTCCACGAGTTTTCACACGTCGCCGTTGGAGAGATAAGAGATATGAGTTTTGAGAAACGTACGGTTTTGAGTTGAGATTTTGCTTCCTTCGGGCCCTTTTCGTCCTGGCGGGATCTTCGTGATGCTGCTTTGGCGCCCTTTGGGAAGGATGAAAGTGTGGGAAGTCAGAAATGAGAGGGTGGAGAGCGATAAAATGGACAAAAGTGTTTGGAACTTCGCCGACGTGAGTGCAGTGTGTCTTACTTACGTTCCCCATTTTTTCAGGCAAATTTGAGTTTAGCGAACAGATATGTACAAGTTGAGTTAGTTTGGGCGAGTTGGGAAGGAGAGAGAGAAGAAGTGAGTGTGCTGCAGAAGAGTGTGGAACACACCGTGTGATGGGAATGACGATAGTCAAGAGGTGGCTTGAATGTGGCGTGTGGCACAAACACACTTCCCAAAATTTGAATGGTGGCGTATGTACAATGAGTGACTGCGGTATGTGCATGGAACAGTGGGTTTCGCGTGGGTTTGCTTGCGAACGCTTGAAGCAATTCAGGGTTTTCCCACGCTTCCATTGCCTCGCTTCCATCTCCACGCTTTCAAACTCCATATCTCAAATTCACTGTCGTCAAGAGTAGAACCACTTGTGAAGAATGGTGCGGAACGAAGTAAGAGGGCCGTCGTCGGCACTATCGAGGTAGGTGATTTGTGCGAACGGTCATATCAAACCCAGCTTTGTTTACAAATACGCACGTACCCTCTACAGTTTCCTCCGGGAACGTGGTATCCGTGCACCGAGAGATATCTTCCATAGGCGGAGAGGTGCTGGGGCTGCCGCGGGTGATGACAACCAGGACGGAGACCAAAACGGAGACAATGCGGATACCAACGGAGATACCGCGGCCAACGGTGCATCACCAGACGTTGATGATGCGGATGCCGACACTGCCACTGCAGGACCAAGCCGCACTGGTCGGCGTCGTCGCTCAGCAGCCCCTTCGCGTGCCAGCTCGTCCACCAGTGATCTCCAGCAGGCCGGTTCCTCCACCGCTTCACCAGCAGCAACGCCCGCCGCTTCCGGAATGGACCTCGACGAAGCAGAACCCGTCCTAGAAGAAGAAACCGCAACCACATCAAAAAAGAAACCCACACGCAAAGCACCCACAAAACCCACATCCAAAAAACGCAAACCCACAAAGAAGAAGGGAGACTACGAATCCGACCCCCCCACCTCCGACTCCGACTTCGCCGACGCACCCATCGGCCGCTCCAACCACTCCAAACGCCGCAAACGCACCTCCGACCTCATCGACGCCTACAACACCATCCGCTTTTGCGAACGCTGTCAACGCCGCTACACCGTAGGCGAAGACATGTCCACATTCTGTCCCGCATGTCTTTCCATCCAATCCAAAGCCAGCGCCGGCGGCCTCGCGAAAACCAAACGCAAGAAGGGCAAAATCGTCGCCACCCTCGATGGGACGGGTGCAACGGGGGTGGTGTCGTTGAAGGATATGTGCGTGAAGTTGATCGCGGCGTATATTGATGATGTGGAGGCTTTTGGGGATATTTCGGAGCAGACTAAGAGGCAGATTTCGTGTATTATTAGTCGGGATAGGCAGTTGGGTGTTGGGAATGTTGGGTTGTTTTTGGGGCCTGAGGAGGAGAGGGTGGAGCTTTTTGATTGTACATGTGAGTTGCTGTTGATTGGATGACTGATCTTGGCTGGATTGGGCCGGCGTGGCGGATTGAGTTGGGTTGGGGGGTTGGTGGTTAAATTTCCTTACCTTAGTGTTGCTCCTTTCTGACATATTCAATCTTTTGATCAGATCTCGATGAAGGCGCCCTAAACCAAATCCCCTACTCCTGCCCCAATCTCCGCGTCCTCCACCTCGGCCAATGCGGCCGCATCACGGACGAAGTCCTCAAATCCATCGGCCACCACTGCCCGCACCTAACATCCCTAACCCTCAAAGGTCCCTTCCTCCCCACGGACCTCGGCTTTCAAACCCTCTTCACGTCCCTCGGCAAAAAACTCACATCCCTCCACCTCTCCCACGCTGCAAAACTTTCCCATTCCGCAATCGAAGCACTCGTTACGTCCTGCCCGGATCTGCGCGTGCTGCGTCTTGATAGCTGTCATCGTGTTGGGGATGAGGGAGTCCGTGCGCTTGCAAAGTTGAAGTGTTTGGAGGAGTTGCAGCTTGATTCGTTGGGTGAGGGGGTTAAGGAGGAGAGTTTGATGTTCCTTGTTGAGAGTGTTGGGAGTGGGTTGGGGAGTTTGAGTTTTAATGGGTATCCGGAAATGAGCGATAAGGTTTTGTTGGAATCTATTGCGCCGACGTGTACGAGTCTTCGGAAACTATTCCTGAAAGACTGTCCCTCCCTCACGACAGACGGCATAATCCACTTCCTAGCTATCCTCCGTACACCCGCGGGTCTAACCCACTTCTCACTCGGTCGGAACGTCCATCTCGCCGATTCGGCCATCATCGCACTCCTGAACGACCACGCGCATACACTCGAACACCTCTCCCTAAACGGGCTGGACGAATTGACCGAAGTCTCTCTGGGAGCTCTGAAGGGATGCATGAAGTTACGGGAATTGGATGTGAGTTGGATTCGGGATTTAGATGATTTTATGTTGGGGGATGTGTTGAAGGGGTGTAAGTGTTTGGAGGAGGTTAGGATTTATGGGTGTAGTAAGTTGAATGAGGAGGTGCTTGGAAGGGTTTGGAGGAATGAGGGGGGGAGAGAGATTAGGGTTGTTGGGAATGAGTTTGATTAGGTGTGGTGGGGGAAGAGGGAGGAGATATTGCGTGTGGAAACCTTTTTGTGATTATATCTTGCATGTTGGGTTTTACATAAACTGCAACATAAACAAGCGTCTCAAATTTGTTCAATTGAGCAGTTATATTGAAAATTGCTTGGATCAACACATTCCGTTACACCTCCCGACTGGACTTGAACCAGCACGCACCACCCCACAAAAGGGGGAGTCGCTCTGCATTGAGCTACGGGAAGTGAAGGCAAACAACGTTCCAAACCCACATCCTCACATAAGGCGCCACCGCTTACTTCGTCTAGCCCCGTGACACCCCAATAAAGGGACATCACCTAGAAATCTTCCGGACAAATTTCCGAAATGCTTTGCCTCGAGGAGACAAATGAACGTCTAGCAGAGGGAGCCTCGACTTTTCGCGCAAGCTTGCCTCGTACAGGATTGTGGACTGCCCTCGGAATGCCAACACGGAACGAGTTATGCCTCAGTATATACAAGAGGACCTATTCTATACAACTGGGGTCTCCTACTCTATACACCCTGAAACCAACTATACCCGACTCCCCCTGGCGGAGGAAGTGCGCGCACTCTCCCCTGTGCAAAGGTACCAAAAAGGTCAACCCGGTACAGCGCGGCGCAAAAAAAAGAAGGGGACTAAAAGCCCCGGGAGCGGGCGTGGGGGGGATTGGATGGATGGATGGATGGAAGGGGCTCCCTGGGGAGTGAAGTGACCAAAAAGGATAACGTTGCGTGTTGAAGATGCGGGATTGACACGCGTAGTCTTGGACTAGTCCTGCACTGGTGGGGTGTATGTCCCCGATCACTTCGACCCACCCGCACAGGGAGTGAGAGTTAACGGGGACATAGGGGTTGAAGGAGAGCGTGAAGGGGAGTTTGGGAGAGAAGAAAGGTTTGGGGGACTGTCTGCCACTTTAGATATAGGATTTTTGCCCTGACCATCCGATCGTCATCATTTGTGGCGCAGTATTAGCCACACGGAACACTGTGCCCCCAACCAAGGGTTCAAGTCCATCGTGTCGAAACTACTTCCCCTCATTGCCCACTCTTGCTGTCCACAAGTTCCACACAGACTTTTCTTTGCTGTTGTGTTTCTTTCTCTCCTGCTCAAAAACCCCACGGAAATGTAAAGAAACCACGAGATATTCATGTCCCCTTTTCCCATGACCCCTTTCCGCGCTTGGAATTCCCAATCGTCCTTGCCAACTCTTGATAGCTCACTCCCTTCACATAAGCATGCAGCACAGCAATCATCAATGGCGTGACGCCATGATCGTTCGGAGTATTGAAAATACCCCAAATCCAAATACTTGAAAACACATCATCGTTCACTGTACCCCCTCGCCCGCGACATATACACCCCATACCAATGCAAAAAGCGTATCGCCCTTACACCACATATTTCCCCATCTGTACATCAACAGAGCTCGTCGTCGCGGCGTGGAGGAGCATTATCCTGCATTGTTCCCGTCTTCCATTACGACTGCTAATTTCCGAACGTTCGATCAACACATCATCACGCACTTCGTCTATGCGCAATCTCCACATTGGTGCGGAAATAGCGAGGACTGTTATTGGGTGCGGAAATACCGAGGAATGTTGTTGTGAGGAGGTGAAGTAGGGGTGTCTTGTGTGAGAGGGGGTTCGAGTTTTGCGCAGAGATGCTTTTGTGTAGATGCCGAGGTGTTGGTGGGGCTGGCCGGTGGTTGTTAGTACCTCGAGTAGAGATTGGACGTGGGTATGCGTTACGGGGACGTGAGGAGAAGTCAGGAGACCGACGACCCGTTTATGATGTGTTTGGGTGCGTGGTAAGCCCAACATTACATGACAAAGAGGAATGACATCCTTTACAAAAAGCATCGGGGGAACGGGCATCGGGGGATTGGTACTCATCCATCCACCGTATGTGGTTGGGATATTTGATTCCGACGAAAACACCATCAGGAAACGACGTGAGAGGTATGAATATGACGGACAAGCAAATCCGCAACGTTGTCTCGTCGCCATACGAAACGTCGGACATATCCTGCATATCAGTGCAGGCTCTATCGTTCGTCAACTCTTTCGCCAAGTGTTGAAAGATGTTGCCATACATCACATCGCACACCATCTTGCGGACATAACTTCCGCAACGCTGTATAGAGGGGGATAGAACAAAGATCGAAACATCAATGTCGTACATCAATGTCGTACATCGTTCCATTTTGACAGGTAGGAGGTGGAGCGGCACAAGGAGGAAAGAGTCGCGAGAAAGGGAGGGAGGTCGATGGATTGGGTTGATACGAGAACTTTGACGAAGACGAGGGCGAGGTCTGGGGTGGAGAAGAAGGTTAGAAGTGGTGTGGACATTCTGAGTTGAAGATGAAACCTTAGAAGAATGGAACTCAGCGTTTCGCACTTTCATAGCTCCACCCTGAAGGAGCCTGACTATGTTTGGTATATGTGACGGCTACGGGCAAGATTTCCATGAGTCGCTGCGTCGCCTTGGACCATGGCGTTTGATGGGTGCCCATCAACTTTCAAACATCAAAAGCATACACGCAAGCAAGAGCGAGCAACACCCTCCTGCTCACCAACAACCTTCCATTGCGGAAGCCGACTCTTATTATTCATGCAAGCCCCCACAGGTATAGTGCGTTCACAAGGTTTAATGAGAAGAGACCGTTTTGTGGGACGTCTGTCCGTGTCGCGGAAACGGGATTCTGGTCCCAGACTCTCGGCGTCTGATGTGCGAAAGAAAACATAGTCATGTAGACGGGGGCCGATGCGCAGGCCCAGCCGCTTCCTGGGAGGACGAGGCTAATATGTAGTTTTGATTTGTTTACCATTGACGCCACACTCAGAGTGCAAACAAAGAGCAGATGTCTGGAGCAGCTTCTTACCTGGATATAAGTTCAGCAAGTGAACCTCCCATCCTTGGTATTTCTCCCTCTTGGCCCAATTTATCTGCGTTCATATCTTGTCTGCTGGCTGGTGGCTGCACTCCGTGAATCATAAGCTCTCAAATATCGCCGATGTACAACAAACCAGAAATACTTGACAATATTTACAAACAGTCGTCAACAAAGCTTAGTCAAACTCTACAAGATACCTGATAGCAATTCTGCTCGTATCATAAACTATATACTCGTTATAATTCAGCACACACCCAGTCCTTCCCGCCTCCGGGACAGGCACCAATTGCCCCATCGGCACACCAACCCCATCAGGAGACACAGCCCAACCAGAGCGCGCCGGAGCGCTCTTACCCATTCCCTTTGTGCTGGTAGTGTGGCCGATGGGACTTTCCATATACCGTGCACTAGTAAGAGACGTGCATTCCCCAACCGCCACTTCGCAGAGGAACATGAGTTTGGAAGTGTGACCGTGACAGTATGAACGGGATTTTGAAAATGCATCCGCAAAGTAGACGCCTGAAGAATTGAAGTCGCGTTCTTAGACCATTTGACTTCGTGACGCCAAGTGAAATTCATCGATACATACCTTTGCCAAACATAAGCCCAGTCTGCGGGGCCTCCGGGGGAGCAATTTTGAGACCTTTGCTCAAGATTCCGACTGCATTGGAAACGCGTGAGCCGTGGAAGAGGAGGAGATTGTTCGGACGTATGCCCTCGTCGTCTTCCTATTGATGGGGGGCAGAGCCAATTGTTAGTAACAGAGACCGTAAATGGAACATCCCCATGGGTGTGTCTTACGAACCGTAAACTTCTTCCGATTCTCAACATATGGCTGGAAATTACTAATCTCTTCCAACCGCTGCACTTGGAAAACGTTCTTAATCTTTCCCGCTCCCGCCCCCGATGCGGAGGTATTACTAATATAGTCCGTGATCATCCGGTAACGAGGGTCGGAACTGGGTAGTGGCGAGATGTCACATCCAAGCTCGTTGTACACACGTTCGACTTTCGTGAGTTTATCTTAAACGCAAAGAGTGTTAGTCACAAGTGGGTTGTCATGTTGATCTTACTGCAAATCACTAACCATTGCCCTTCTCAGCATCCCTCACAACATCCATAGCCTCAGCAACATCGCTCATGACATCGAGCATGTCGAACTTGGCGCGCACTTTCGTTAAATCGTCGATCAAGTCAGGTCGCTCAAGACCAAAGTCAAAGGGGATCAGCTCGTAGAAGGCGTTGCAGAGATCTTGCAGGTCTTGTTTGAGCTTCTTAGCGGTTGCCGTACCCTCTTTGACCAGGTTTCCGCGGTAGCCTTCGGCAATGCTGTGGGGAGGTTTGCTCAATAAGCATTGGCATCAATTATAGTGAAGTGCGTTGATGCGTACGTTATTCCATGGATGGTGTCACTCATCTGTTGAAGTAGGGTGTATCCCTCGTGGATCTGGAATCATAAGATATGATTAACACCTATGTCACTGCACAGGAACTCCATCCGTAAAGTCCTCACCTGCTTCAGCGACAATTGCCCAGCTGGCAACCGTTGGGCATCAAGCCCGAAGGCAGAGATATCCCGGTACATCTCGCCTTCATCCGTAATCAAGTTCATCAACTTTGCCACGGATGAATCCAAGGCACCCTTCTCAAAATCCTGCTTGGCTGTGGCGTTGATTGTTTTGCTGAAAGAGAAATTCATGAGATGCACAATCAAGTGAAGTTCAGCGCCGTTGTTTACGTACGTATCCGCCTTCTTCCGGTAGTATCGCGGGTGGTAGGTATACAAGCCCTGATATCGGACAAACGAATTGCGCGCTTCCCATTCGTTCTGCAAGTAAGGCCACTGTCAGGTTCGGGATACATATTGGACTAGGTTCCATGCACATACCTTAGTTTTCTCCTTGAACTTGGCGCAAAAAGTTTTTTTTGCTTCCTCCAAGTCTATAAGGTTTGGGGACCATGCCATGTCAGCTATTCGTCAATTCTGCATTTTGCCAATGGGAAGTGATCACAAACCTTCAAAGCTCTCCTTCTTACTCCCGCCATGCTCATGATCGATCTTTCCATATCCGTACCCACCATACCGATATTGCGAACCCCCGTAACTCTGCCCTCCCATTCGGCCCCAGCGAGTGTATACCTGATACCGCGGCTTCCTCAGCACTGCCTGAACGGCTCGCTCCTCTGCTTGAGCTTGTTGTGCAGCCCTCTGTGCGGCTTCACGTGCCAGCTTCCGTGCAAGTCGGCCCATCTTTTTGGGCTTTTCAACAACGACGGGTTGAGGCGGAGGAGGAGGTGGTGGCTGTGGGTTTCGTTCGGCTTCCAGTAGG